TATATATATAAAGTTACACTTGAACCTCCTGCTGATTGATTCCTTATTTGAAGTATTAAATGTGACATTTTTAATGCATATTATTAACAATCAACAAAAAACGCTTTCTGTCCAAATCAGTGTTATCTTTTTATTTCTTTCTTAGTCTTTGTAGCCATGAACTGATGGTTAAATAATGTCCTGTGCAACAAGGAAAAAGCTAAATATCACAACATGAATATTTATGGATCCTGGTACTGTTCGTGTCAGCTCAAGGGCAGAATGTATAAAACTGAGCTGCTGCTTCAGGTCAACACAAAAAAAAAAACTATTTTGGAAGTAAACTGAAAACTCCACATCAAAGTTTATATATTTATTTAGAAAATAACTCCACAGTGGTCTCCACCATAACAAACTTTTAAGAAATCATAAATATGAACAAAACAAGGCAACATGTACAGGGGAAAAAAAAAAAACTAGAACTGGCACAAACTTTGAGAACGCTCAACATTCAGAAAACATGAACTCAGCTAAAGTTTTCGGTCCTTTTTTGTGTTTCATTCGCTCTTTTGCTTGTAGCAGACAGTAACAGGAATCTGACTCTTGAGGTTTTGCTTCTTGCCGTTGACGATGAGCAGCAGAGGAGAATCCACTCGTATGCTTTTGAAATCGAACGACTGTCGTAGGGAGGAGGTGGTGGAAGAGTTAGACTGGATTACTGTGCCAAAGGTAAGCAAAGAGCACGAGACACTGACCTTATTTTTATGTGTGATACTGTGTCGCTTGACRTTAGGTTCAGGAATGGCCACGGAGTCGCCTATCAGGACGCCCCAGCTGTCTGCTGTGTTGTAAACCATCACCACGATACACGTCTCTTCCTTGTCGACCATACCGAACGTGCTGGGAAACAAACAACGTAGGATTTTTTTTTATTGCAATCAGATGCCGCTGTTCCACCAAACTGCCTGTGGATTACAGCTGTTTAAAACTCACAAGGCCATGCGGCCCTCTGGGGCCAGGCTGAACACCACCTTTCCCAGAACTGCTACCCCGGCCATGTGACCGTGTGTGAGGTAGGAAAGAGGCTGTGGCACCAGACTGCCCACGCGACCAGAGGGGGAGCGAAACTGCGGAGACGAGCAGGGACCCAGAGCCGACGTGTCGAGCTGCGACAGCATCATCTTCAGACGACGTGCTTTAACTTTCCCCTGGACAGAAAGTCAGGAGGAAGAAGAGGGTTAGAATAAAACTTCACTCTGCTGTCACCATGTGGTCAGAAATATCTTTGCAACCACTTAAAAACTGTATATTAGCACTCTATTCAGGAGATGCTTTTTTATTTTGAATCAGTTTTATTACAACTACTAGTTTCCAACTATGAGAGACTATTTATTCGAAATGAAATAAATAAATTTTAAAATTTGTCTTATTTTGCTTTTACCGTGAGAAAAAGCAAGTGTTTGGGAATTGAATACAGGCTATTGAATAAAACTGTTATTTGGCCCAAAGCCACCATAAGTATCTCTGCAAAGCCTTTAATACTGTATTAGTGACAGTCACTCAACTCATTTATGGACATGTGTCTGTTTTATTTATAAAAATGAACGTTTTATTATGAAGAAACGCCAGGCAGGCAAGAATCCCCACTCTGGTGGTGAAACAGAACATTTCCTAAATACCAACCCACAGGGAAAACTCCGCCCCCTCATTTGCATACTGGACCATGAAATGAAACGACATGAAAAAATTAAACAGCATGGAATAAAAAGGGAGTTCAAAATAAAAGTCCCTGAAATATGTAAAGTAGCTTTAAAAAATAAAAGTGTCACAAAATAAAACTACAATATGGAATGAATGAATGAATAAATCATAATATAAATACGGTAAAATTTTATTTTGTTAAATGCATACAGGGTTCCMACACCTTGGTCAACATTATATTCAAGGACTTTCAAGGACAAGTGTAATTTTTGGCTGTTTTCACAAACTTTCCAGGGCCTTCAAATCATTTTTTCAAATTCACAAACTTTCAAGGATTTCAAGGACCTGAGGGAACCCTGTAAATAAATAAAGACATGCTAAAAATGTATTATAATTTTATCGATTTTGTTTTATTTCACAGGGAGATTTATTTATTTAATGGAATATTTATTAATGCTTTATTGATTACATTACTTATTTATTTAATTTTGAATGAAAGGGCTCTCCATATCCAACAGCTGCAGCCCAGTGAAATACAGCCTTACGATGATAATTAATTACGTTTAACGCAACAACAGAACAGAGCAACTCTTCTACCTTGTTCTGGATGAGGTCCGTCACTCTCTCCAGATACTCCAGCAGCTGCCTCTCTCTCTCTCGCGGCTCCTCAAAGCTCGGGTCCAGTTCCGCCGCCTTGCTGTGTCCGTTGAGCGCACATGAAAACATCTCCTCATACTGAAACAGGTTGGCTCTGTTGAAGTGCAGCTCTGGGATACAAGGGGCGATTTTATCTGAGGTCTCCTATAGGTCGATAAGATGTGATTAAAACATACGTCAACACGCTCATTTCTAACCTACAGAGTGTGTGAGGACTCACAGCTTTGACGTAGGCACTAAAAGCTTGTTGAGAGAAATGTGGATTCTGTCCACAGGTGAAAAACATGGACATGTAGGCATTTGCTAGAATATCTGTAAAAATTAATGACAAAGAAAACATTTTAAACAAAAAGATCCAATAAAAACATCTCTTCTTTATTACAACACACTGTCTAACACGGTCTGTTCCTGTGTTATATCTTTATTGGTATCAAGGCTGGAATGGCCATCTGGCGTACCGGGCAATGCCCGGTGGGCCAACGCTCATATATGGGCCGGCCCGGGTCTGTCATGAACCTAAAAAAATATTATAAACAATTTTTGTCTATCGCAACAGCTTATTGGTTGATTTTCATGATCGACATGAGCTAAGCCAATGAACTCTAGAAGGCACTCCTCGGCCGGGCCGGCAAGACCCTCCCCTTTTCAACCAAAGTTATAAATCCTGCCAGAAGCTGCCGGTCCGGACA